CGGGGGTTGCTTTTTATTTTTTAGGGGTGAAAACTACTCCTATTCGAAAATAATTATAGAATTGTAGATTCGAGCGTGTAATAGGTTGAAATAATCATTAAATAAGTTATTATGATGAATTGAAAATTGTCAATCCCTAAAAACCACCTCCTATGACAGTAATCATTAAAAAATAATGTTGAAAAATATTCAGCAACTTGGAATAATTTAATCATATAGTGATATTAAATTAGGATTTCTTTACTGTTTTAATTTTTTATTATTTATTTATAAGTTTCTACCCTTATAAAAACCACTCCTTGCAAAAAAAATTTTTTAGTTCAGAATATAATACAATCAAAATATAATACAATATTATTATTATTTAAAATGTAATGTATTTATTTTATCAAGCCTTAAAAAAACTCTACTGATTAAAATTTGCAATCAAAAATAGGGAACACAAGAATTTTATGTTTATATGGATTTTAATTTTTTTATTTTTATAACAAATTATTTTTTATTGCAAATAACATAAATAATCAAAAATGTAAATACGTCTGTGCCTAAAATATAGCTATACTCGTATCCATCAATGCTTCAATATACGTGTTCTGATATCTGCAAAAATATGTGATTGGTTTTTTACCCATAACTCGCTTAGTTTTTATGCTATCAAGCCCTTCAAAAAACCATTTTGTAAGTTTTTTCAAAGGCTATAAGACCAAATAAGTTAAAATTTCTGTCAGCCCTTATTTTTATAAGGGTGTGAGCGAAAAAGGCTTGAAGTTGCTATTTACGAACATTTGCAAACTTTAAACGCCCATATTTTACTTAATTTTGTCCTACAGAAAAAAAAACTAAATTTTCAAGAAATCAAAACCTATAATTTTGTATTCTACAAAATTTTGCGTATCATTAATAGTTTTTGAATTATTTTGAAGAAAAGAAATTTTTTTTATAAGCTACATTTTTTATAAGAAAGATTTTTTTGATAAAATACTTACTTTTGAGTTATTCGCGAAAAAGCGTCTGAAAAAGTGTTTTTTTTTGGTTAAAAAATTTACACCTTCACTCGTGAATAAGTCGAAAAGTATTGATTTTCAGAAAAAACTTTATAGAAAAAAAGTGGAATTAGCCAATATATCCATTCCCGGTTATTTGCAATGAAATATTTTTCACCCCGAGAAGGGGTGGCTTCCACCCCCAGGGTAAAAGCAACCCCCGGTACAAGGTCAACTTTGAAGTAGAGGGTAAATAGAACCTAAATCCAAATTTTTATAAAAATCGGTGTTGTTTGGCGAAATTATACGGGAAAATGATCAAAGACTGGACTATTAATTTGTTTTTTTAATAAAATCGATTACGAAATAATAAATGATTCTGAAATAACAACCGACAAAGCCACAAATTTTTTATGGAATCTTTCCAGTATCTCACCAACGTCACACAATACCAAGTAATCTTCCTCTTGTTATTCTCAATGAAAGAATATGAATAGTTGATGATATAACGGGTCAGTTTTCAGAATTATTGATGTAGATTTTATTATAGAAATGTTTTGGTAATCTTCTAAGTATGCAGTGACGTAAAACAACCATTTTAAACTATTCATTAAAGTTTAACAAATTCTTAAAATACATAAATTAAACTTGAATCCGCTTTGGTCTACCTTCTATCATTTCCATTTCGTTTTCAGGGTTTATGAGCACTGAAGATTCGGCCAGCCCAGGCAACTACGGCCTCAAAGACCAAGTTCTGGCCTTGCGTTGGGTCCAGAGGAACATAAGGAACTTCGGCGGCGACCCCAGCCGCGTGACGATCTCTGGGCAAAGCGCGGGTGCTGCTTCTGTGCTCTACCACGTGGCTTCCCCGAAGAGCAAGGGGTTGTTCCACAGAGCAATAGCCAACAGCGGGACCTCTCTATCCGCTTTTGCATGGAAGAGGAATGCCAAAGAGGTCGCTTTCCAAGTGGGGGAGGGCTTGGGGATCAACACGAAGAATTCCAAGGAGCTGGTTTCGAAGCTCAGGATGGTGGACTTGAAGAGTTTGATGGGTGTATGCGAGACTCTGGTGACGCTGGTAAAACATTCTAATTATTTCAACACGTTGCGTTAAAGTGGGTTTGAAACGCGTAGGTATTAATTTTGACTCGGTTGGGGCTCTAGAACTGAGGCGAGAAAAGTGCTCGCAAAAATTTGTGAAAATTTTTAACAATGTTTTGAATAGTACAAATTTGGATTTATTGAAAATATGTTGTTTACGTAAATGGTATTTGACATACAATGCATATATTAGTTTTGTATCGTATTACCAGGTATCCGTTACTGGTTATTGAGCTAAAAGGGTCGACGTTCAATCACGTTCCTTGATGGGTCCGCAAAGATCCTGGCGTCGTTCGTTTGGATAATTGGCCTCTCAGGATTTTACTCAACTTTGGTTTATCATCGCCTGGAACGGGTGATGGATTGCCATGTACAAAAATATCCGTTATTTGTGTATTCTAATCCATTTTTAAAATTAAATTTAAATGTGTTCTAGTTAGAGCTTATGTCTTTACTTGTTATCAAAACTAGTAAAGCATTAATTTTTATGTTTTCGACTATTAGTTTATTAGTTTCCTGTTCTATATTAACTGCTGTGGTTAGAGACATGTGGCTGGAAATGTCGTGACTGTAGTTTGATGTTAGTTTATTTGTTAAATTTATTTTTTAAGTAATTTAATCCTTTTTAAGAATGTAATTTTAAACTTTGTGATTTTTTTTGTTGCAGAATCTTCTCACTTTAATGTTGGAAGGATTTGCTTTTGGTCCGGTCATCGAACACGACCACAAAAACGCTTTTATTTCCGAAAGCACCTACTCCCTGCTAGAAAGAGGGGACTTTAACAGAGTACCCATTATAATTGGTACAACCACTGACGAATCAGCGGTTTTTGAAAATCGTAAGTGAAAATACCTGTTATTATACCTTGGACTTACTTCATCGACACCATTTACGGTTATAACCTTAAGCCTTAACTATTAATATTTGATTTGCCCTTGTTCCCAGGCTAGGGTCTGTGGGAGTGGACTCGCTATTAGAATCCGTAGACCAGGGATGCACATACCGCGGCCCGCGGGCCGCATGTGGCCCGCTGTCGATGTTTATGCGGCCCGCCAACGAATTTTAAAAGTATTCTACTCGCCGCACTCCGGTCCAAGCATATTATTACGAGACTAGAAATCTGTCGCATCAACTAGATTACAGATTCGCGAAACACGTCGATCCCCGAACAAAGTGGATGGTTCTCGATGTTTGGTAACTCGTATAAATACGACGCATCGCCGGCTACCGGGGCAGTTAAGTTTTGACTACGGATAAGCGAACGTTATACTGTTTGAGAACTGTAATCTGTGACGAGTAAATATTTCGTCGTTCGAACTTGGCTTTTACCGACTGTAACATATAATATTAATTTTGATATGGATAAACCAGGCCCCAGTAAGAAACGTAGTCGTAAGGTTGAAGATGAAAATCGACAGTTTCATGATATTTGGACCGAAAAATACTTTTTTATTTCATCGCATAACAAAATTGTCTGTTTAATATGCAAGAGTAGTGTTTCTATTCCGAAGGAATATAATGTGAAAAGGCACTATGAAACCCAGCATCCAACTTTTACCAAATTAACTGGCGAAAATCGAACGCAAAGAATTTCCACTTTACAACGGGAACTAATAGGCCAGCAATCTATGTTTACAAAACCAATTCAAGATGCTGAAACAGCCACTGAAGTTAGCTTTGAAATATCTCGAATAATAGCGAAAACTTGTCGGCCTTTTAAAGATGGTGAGTTTGTTAAGCAATGTTTGGATATCGCCGCAAAAAAAATTTGTCCGGAAAATGTAAAGAAGTTTGAAAAAATTCAGTTAAATCGGATGACTGTTCAAAGAAGAATTACCGCATTAGCAGATAATATAGAAGAGCAATTAGCTACGAAATCGAGAAGTTTTGAGTATTTTTCTATAGCGCTCGACGAATCTACAGATATAAGTTCAACTGCTCAACTATTAATATTTTTACGAGGTGTAACGCAAAATTTTGAAGTGAGTGAAGAACTGATTGGTATGAGTTCTTTGACAAGTCAAACCAGGGGAAGTGACATGCTCAAAGCTCTTCTAGAAAAATGTTCTATAATGGATTTGGATTTAACGAAAATATCTGGAATTACAACTGACGGAGCACCTTCAATGGTTGGAAGTACATCTGGGATAGTAACTCTGTTAAAAACATATTTACAAACTAAAAACATAAATACCAAGGAATTAATGCAGTTTCATTGTATTATACATCAAGAGGCCCTCTGTTCAAAATTATTGGGATTTGAAAATGTTATGAAAGTTGTAGTACCTACCGTAAACTTTATAAAATCACGAGGTCTCAATCACCGACAATTCAAACAATTTCTCGAGGATATTGAAAGCGAATATGGTGATCTCCTGTTTTACACTGAAGTAAGGTGGCTAAGTCGTGGGTTGACACTACAGCGATTTCTTAACTTGATTGAAGAAATCCAACTATTTCTGGCGGAAAAGAAAAACGACGTCCCCGAACTCGACAACCCTGATTGGCTGTGTGACTTAGCGTTTCTTGTAGACATCACAAATCACTTGAATGTCTTAAATACGCGACTCCAAGGCAAAGATCAATTGATTTCGCAGCTATACTCTCATGTTTCGTCCTTTCAATGCAAATTGAGTCTTTTCAGGACACAAATCAATTCAGCCAATTACGGCCATTTTCCGAACTACAAAAAAATTATGGAGAAGTTCAATAAAACTGACGTCAATTTCGCTCATGTTGAAAAAATTGATATTTTGATACAAGCTTTTGAAAATCGTTTTGTAGACTTCAAAAAAGTTAAACCGCTATTGGACATTTTCAGCAATCCTTTCAACATTTCACCCGAAAATGCGCCGGAATTAATGCAGCTGGAATTAATAGACATGCAAAATGATGATAATTTAAGAAACAAATTTAATGAAGGTAATTTACTCAACTTCTACCGTTGCGTTGATAAAAACGCTTATAAAGAGTTGCGAATAAATGCATTGAAATGCGCAAGCTTATTTGGATCGACGTATATTTGTGAACAAACGTTTTCAGTGATGAAACTTAACAAAACGAAAAACCGAAACCGTCTGGCAAATGAAAATTTGGAAGCAATTATACGTGTGGCTACAAGTAATGTGGAGCCAAATATAAAAAAACTTGTTAGTTCAATGCAATGTCATGCATCAAAATAATAAAACATGAAATATTACATTGTAATGATTACATAATTATTACAACAAACATTTTTGAAGGTTATTTTATTTTTATCATTGTATTTCATACTATTTAAAAATAAAAAATTTTGTGTTAATAAATATTGTTTGTAGTGGCCCGTCCTTGGCTTATATTTTCCCGAGTGGCCCCTGTTCCCTATAAGTCTGTGCATCCCTGCCGTAGATCGTGGTGCTAAGGCTGCACTATCGGTCAAATGGCATTTTTGTATGTCAAAATCAAATATTTCGAAGAAGAATTAACGAATCGATTTACATTTTTTTTTAAATTAAAGCTTATTTGATGCAGATTTAGGGAAAATTATTGCGAATGTCATCATCCCCTATTTTGGGGGTGGAAATGAAAGGTGAATCGGTGAAAACAGTGAAAATCGATTTTCTTTCGAAATTAAGATATATTTTGGTGGAATAAATGCTCATTTGAAACAAGTTAAGGAAAAATTAATGAAAATATTTTCATCCCTATATTTTCACTTTTTTCACCTATTCACCCTTCATTTCCGCCCCCAAAATAGGGGATGATGACATTCGCAATAATTTTCCCTAAATCTGCATCAAATAACCTTTAATTAAAAAAAAAAAATGTAAAACGATTCGTTAATTCTTCTTCGGGACATTTGATTTTGACATAAAAAAATGCTGCCCCCACAGAGCTTAGCCCGAGAACAACAAAACTCCTAGCTAAGTCTAAGAAAGTGCGATGTAACTACCGTAAATTTATTCGTTTTAGTTATCAACGGTGTGAAATATCTGATCGTATTATTCGACTTGAGCCCTGGGTCTCTGCCAAACCCCTCGATGAAGATCACAACTTCCGAGGAAAGAAGAAAAGTTGGCACCGAAATAATTAGGCACTATTTTAAGAGGCGATCAGCATTTGAAGCGTCAGTCGAGGAGATAGAGGATGTAAGCTTTTAAGTTTGTGTTTGGTCTCACTTTAACAATCGTATTTCATTTTACAGTTTATGAGTGACGAACAATTTGTAAGGCCTGCCAGGAAAACGGCGCAACTGGCTTACAGGCATACCCCTGTGTATTCTTACGTGTTTTCCTACCGGAGCAAATATGGCGTCCGCGGGTTTAACGATGAACTTAGAGGCAGAGGATCGTCAAGGGGTAAGCGGATTTAGCATCCTTACATGCTTATACATACAATTGCTCTATTTTGTTAATGTAATAGTAAATAAATGTTGGTCTTACTTGGCATGAAAAAGGGCGAACGCTTTGAGAACTGCTAGGGCCGAGAGGGAATGACACGTAATCTTCTCACATGACACCTCACAGTATGTGTTGCTCCTCAAACACATTGTAACCTGAGGGGTTATTTCTTTAATTATCTATCTACCGTTATGACCAGTTTTATTACTAGTCTGGATCTCAAAATAGTTTACTATTCGATTCTCAAAAGGGAGTTTATAATTATCATTATACTTTAATTAATACGTCGGAACTTAGAAATGTTGTACGTTCAGAGAATGAATTTCAAGCACTTACCATCCATTGCTTACGTAGAATGTAATCCAGTAGCTGGCTATACAGGGTGACACTGAAGTTGAGAGAAACAAAAGGAAATACCAAAACTTACAGGAAAGGTTTTAATAACAACAAACAAAACAAACACACAAAGTAACGACACAACGGCTCAAACAACGTTATTAATTAATTTATTGACACGCGACAGCGTACCGAGATTCAGGGAATGCGAGATTTATAGCAAAATTTGGAAAAAGTTTTATCTCTCCTGAATTCGACACTTCGCTTCGACACGCCCATTTCTTGGGTCCAGACGTTTCTGTTCTTATCTTACTGGCGGGAACCCTGAATGTCGGGACGCTTTGGCATAACTATGCCATGTTAAGGTGGCCATATCCCTGGCCGAGAAATGGTGAAATTTCTGGCATTTTTAGGTACTGAAATCTTGAAATGTAAAACGTGTAGAACAAAAGTAAGCACAAAAATAAAATCCTTGATGTTTTGTTTATTCATTGTTACCATTTAAATTTACCCAAATAAAATAATAACTAAAAAAAAGCGTTTGTAAAACACGCGTCTTCTGTTATCCTAATAAAAGTAAACAATTTTATATGTAGGACTAAGCAAGTAAATGTTATAAGAATATTTACATATGGAGTTATGTCTAAAAAAGTTAGTATTTTCGTAGATTTCAGTACCTAAAACCTTGATGGTTTGATCGTTTTTTGCACCTGTTTATTCGTTTTATTGCGGCGTCTTTGAAAATACTCAGGTGGCATGACATAACATTCCTATTATTTGATAAGCTTTAGATTATTCAGTTATTAAATGTTTGAAATTATTTGTCTTTGCGGAAAACACTATTTAAAGAATATGGGGCCCTTAATAGTTACCTAATTGACTGATTTTACATTTATCTAAATAATTTTGAGACTAAACTTACAAATAACCATAGCCTTCCTCTAGTGACTCCGTATAGCGATACGGGACGGATTAGTCCATCTCATTTAATCTATTCTTATAGCTTGGAAAATTCGCCTAAAAACCAGCTATTTTACTTATTACTTTATTTTCCTCACAACATTCTACCAACTTATTCTTGGAATTCCTACGTTCTTTGGAATGCATTTCGCTCGTTATTTGAAATATCGATTTTTCTCTCTATTTTTTCATTTTTGCCTACCATTGTTTGTGATACGGACTTAGTCATTTACCATTTTTTTAAATGTTCCCATACACAAAAGTAAAGGATACCATAGTACCGTCCTGTCACAATTATGTCACAATATTACTTGATAATAAAAAACGTAGATATCTAACTTCTTATACAAAATTCGTGATGAAATTACGAAAAATATTACTTTAGAGAGTAACTAATCGACATCGGTGCATTCAGTTAGATCATTAATAAAAATAACAAACACCGGCGGCCCCAGAATTGACCCTTGGGGAATCCCCGATGATCGATTAAGTTTATTTGATTGAAAGCCACGATACTGTGCAAACTGATATCTAATTGTGTATATTATAAAAAAAATGCTATTTCTAAACAACTTCTGTTAATCGGCCTCTTTTATTAATAAATCTCCAATGATTTTTTTGTTTCAATCATTTTATTAAATCACAACATAGCTATAGTCCAATCAAATTAGATTTTTACGTCTCAAAATTTAGTTCAGTAAACAGATACGTAAAAATTAGGAAAAATTGTGTAGAATTGAACTTTATCCTTTACTTGACTCCTGTTGGTCGGAGGGCAGTTTGTTTTACTTGTCTTTGTTTACTGTACTAAATTTTGGCAAAAAGTGAGGTATTTACGACAATTTGACTGACCTACTATATTTTTTGTTCGAAGGCGTTGTTCACACCGAAGATTTGACTTACATATGGAAACGCATAGAGAGATCATTCCCACGGAATCAAGAGGATAGACTTATGGTCTCGAGAATGGTGAAACTTTGGGCTAATTTTGCTCGGACTGGGTGAGGGAATATCTAATTATTTTTTCACGACAAAAAAATAATTCTAGGAGACAAACACTTACAACCAACTAACATTGTTTCATTTTATTATATTTGCGTTGTTGCATTATTATTTATGTTTAATTATTAAAGATACTAGTTCTTGTTTAATTTTTTAGGAATCCTACACCTCGGACTGACCCGTTACTTCAAAATATAACATGGCCTTCCGTGAATTCGCGAAAAGATATGAAATACTTGGACATCGACTCTACTCTGACCATAAAATCAAATTATAGGGAGGAACATATGAAATTCTGGGACTACATATACGAAAAACACGGTGGAAAATCTTATATCACTTATTAAATGTAGAGCAATCACAAAGTTCGAGAGGACAATCGAAGAGTAAATAAATCGAGGTACGATTGATAGAAATATCTTAAAATACCTACTGACTTACCGCAATAATAAGAAGAAACATTTTTGGAACCGCTGAATCCATCGATAGCTCGGTCAGTTCCGTGATTACTGTGATTAACATAGCTGTGTGGTAAATTCATTATTAATTTTAAATTTACCGCCTAATTACATTACGAAAAGAGAGCCATCTATTATTTATATTACCTAATTCTTGGTTTATTTGGACATGACGTCACGTGGAGAGTGCTTTAAGTATTTCATTAATAAAGGTTCTGTTAATTGTTTTTGATTACGTTTTTGATAAATAAAAACTGGCTTTGATATTACAACAATTCACTATTATCAACATCATTCGACAATTTTTGTGCAGCTCTTTTGGACTTAGATGTTATTTGACAAAAATTTGTTAGTACGATTGGTTTATGAGTCATTTGGTAGCACCTATTTCTTTAAATTTAGCTACTTCTGGAGCTAATTACGAATATATAGTCTGATGTTTTATAATGTCTTGAACAAATCCAAGAATTTTCAATGATAATGTTTATCTACGTCTGTAAGCTGCAAATCATCTTTTTATTATTAGGAAAATCGGAAACATGAGGTCCTTATTAAGAAATTCGCTTTGGTTGTTTGTTGTACAACCAAAAACGGAGCAATGCATTATTAATAAATAGATAATAATGCTAATGATCACCACAAGAATAAAAAAGTTCGATACAGATCAATCACAAACAGACGTAATACAAACATTATATTAACACCACTTTAGAACGCATATGGCACTGAAAAAAAAACGATAAAGATAGGTTAGTATTATTAACGGCCATCAATCTCATAGGGACAATATCCACAGATCGCCATTTGATCTCCACATGACGTCATAACATGGCCGTGGGTGTGAGAAGGGTGGGTATATGTAGCACAAGCGCCATCTAGTCGTTGCTCTTTGTAAATCAATGATTTTAAGCAGCGTGTTGCAGTTTCAACGGCATTGATTATTACTGAAAATGCTCGTTTTCGATGAACTTATTAAAAAAATCTTTTCCAAGTTTGTAAACACTCTGTACATTTAAATATTACAATTTAAGGCAACTTGTGTCTGCCTCTTTGTTGTTTTGTTGCGTAGGTAAAGGCATTTTGTACATATGTAGTAAAATTAGGAAAATATAAATTATTTAGTATGTTTAAGATTTTTTTATTTAAAGAAAACAATTCCAAATCCTGTATTACACTGAGATTCTTAAGATATGATAATAATTTTGATTAAAATGTGTTTTTATCATCATCAAAGAAGTGACCAACAAATAATCTTACAAATTGCAATATTCATATCATGTAGGTACCTCTAGGTAAGTAGGCACCCTTCTAAAGTTCAATGAAAACAATTGCTACAATTCCAAGAAGGGCGCTTGATCCTTTATGGTTTAAATTTGTGCAATTAGAAGATTCAACAATTAGAAGCCATTAAAAATGTATTAGAAGGATTAAGATTTAGGTAAGTATCTATAATTGCGATTAAATTTGAGAAATTATTTATTCAAAATGTGGTTTAGTTTATTTAGTAGTTTGAAATTGTCAGGGCCTTAGGGCTAAGATGGTTGAAAGTTTTTTGGATGCTGTGTAACATGTCTGTGTCTGCAAGTGAAAGTGGTAGCGGCTTTAATTTTTCTACGACAGGTAGTGTGCAGTATTTTAGCTTAATTTTTTTTAATTCTAATTTTTGTTGTTTTAAACATTGATTTTATAAGCTACTGTATATCTAATGTTTTAAATAAGAACAGGACATTGTCGGTTAAACAAAATATTGTTTGTACACCTATTATTTGAAGGTCAAACAGGGTATTATAAAAAAAAAGAGTAGTGAACATAATTTATTGAAATTTTTGTTGTTGGTTTATTTTTTTATGAAAACATACCTTACATTTTTTTGCACTAAAAAATACAAATCTATTTAAAAAAACAATAATATTTATATCGATTGTTTTTTGTGGTGAAAAATGTTTTATTAACTAAATAATGAAGTACGTATTGTTTTCGTTTTTGACTGACAAATTGTCACAATTACAAAGTAGCTTTCAAGAAACCGACCGTTTTAAACAATTTTAATAAAGAAATGCATGTTTTTTCAGTTGGAGGCTCGAAATCTTCAATAGGCATTGCCACGTATGAAGACGAAGAGGTAAGTAGATTTGCTACTCTCTTTTTAGGCTATTGATCATGGGATTTTAAAGGGAACTATGACGTTCAAGATATTTTATTACATGAATCGTTCAAATGGTTATTTTAGACGAAAAAACCGCGGAGTGCTATTAAATTAGAGGGTGGAAATTGGAGATAGGGGTGAAAATGCACCTCTTTCAGGTTTTTAATTGTAGTTCGAAAACGAAGCAAAATTTCGCTATAGTTCATAGGAAAAATTATTTAGAGAATTGAATTTCCTCTTGGAAATAGCTTATTTAAAAAATTTAAAAGAAAAATTTTATGCAATAATAAATAAATAATAAACAATTTGAAAAAAGCAAAAAATTCGGTATTCTGATTTATTTTACCTTTTTGCCTCTAGTTTTTTTTTGAGTAAAGATAGGTATAGGCATTGCTTCATAGAAAAAAAAGTAGATAAAATTTAATTCAAAACAAGAGGTTGTAAAGTATTTTTGGATGAAAATTGACTGATATATGGCCGCTCAAACTTGGCCAATTTTTCGATTTTCGTCGCGTTACCCTTATACGTTTTAATTCTCATTTTTTATCAAAAAAGGTAGGAATTAATACATTCAAGGATTTTCATCTCATGATTTGTTCGAAGGGTCATTAAAAATGAAAAAACCGCGGGGTGCTATTAAGTTAGAGGGTTGAAATGAAGATAGGGGTGAAAAAGCACTTTTGCAGGTTTTTAAATATAGCACGAAAACAAAGCAAAATTTTGGTATAGTTCATAGGAAAAATTTTGTAGAGAATTGAATTTCTAATCGAAATGGCTTATTTAAAAAATGTAAAAGGAAAATTTTATGCAATACATCGTTAATAAACAATTTTAAAGAGAGCAAAAAATAAGATTTTTTAATTTTTTTACTTTTTTAATAAAATAATTTAGTAAAAGCTTGAGAATTTAAGTACAATAAAGTTTATTAATAATGTATATACAGTGTGTTCACGGATGGAGTGGACAAGAGGAGAAACTCTAGTTTTTTACTTTATCGAAAAATGTTACTCTTCATAAAAAGTTCTGCCCCTCGAAAAAATGAGTCTTAGATTAGATATACAGGTTGCTCATAAATTAAAATAACACGAAAATGCTCAAGAGAGAAGTACCATTATTTATTATTTTACACAAAATTTTTATAAAACAAATCTGTTTATAATCTCAAATAATGTCCTATAGTCTGTTTAGAAATGAAAGAGAGTAATAAAAGCTCATTATGTATGCAAATCGTTAATAAATGTAGTACTGGTGCTTATATTCAATATTTTTATATTATGTATTTTCCGTATAGATGAGGTCTACTTTTAACAAAACTTTGTGCGATCGGACTGTACTAAATTGTAGCAGGTAGCTAAAATTTAATCCCCGACAATCCGTCTTTGTCTATGCCGCTTCAATTTCTCGGTCCATTTCTCTTATAAGTAAACAATATAAAAACAGCATTTCAAAACATGAGGCTACTTTAAGCATCATAACCGGGTTAAGAGGGTTTTTAGTAATTCAAATAAAATTATTCAATATTATTATCAAAATATTTATTTAAATTTAATGAATAGACTTTTATTCCACACAAAAATATATGTATTTTGAAAATTCAAATTATGGTGAGTAAATGTAGTGTTGTATAAATGTACAATAAAGAAAATAAAAAAGTAGGTATATTAAAATTCATCCTCTGAATATTCTGATGAATTATCTTCGTCTCCTAGATTGATAACGATAGGTTCCACAGTAACGTCAATTAAATTATCGAGTTCCCACATTTTCTCCTCTTCTTTTTGTACATGATGTATACATCTTTGCCAGTTATCTGCAGTTACTCGTTCCAAGGAATTTTTTAACAAAATTTTCACGTCACTTAATTTAAACGTCGTATTATTTCGCGCTACATCTCCTTTTACCTGCGCCCAGACTAATTCGATTGGGTTAAGTTCACAGTGATAAGGTGGTAACCGTAGTACCGTTATTTGGCGATTTGTTGCCATTTCATCGATAACATATTTTTTCTGATCTTTATTAAGATTGACAAGTGTCAAAAGTTCCTTTTTCACCATATTTGTTTCAAAAGAAATGTTTTTTCCGGATAACCATTGAATTATATCGGCTTTCCTCCAAGCAGTCGTAGGCGTCCGCTCGGTCTGCCGTGAATGGTAACTGGCATTATCCATGACAATTACAGACCCCGGAGGAATAAGATCCAACATCTGTGTAAAATACTCTTCGAAAACATCTGCGTTCATGTCTTCGTGATAGTCACCTGTATTTTTAGATTCAAATAAAAGTAAACCGCCATCTACAAAACCACTGGCACTACCTATATGTGTCACTATTAATCTTCGCCCTTTACCTGAAGGTGCCTTGAACCCTGTTGAAAGTCCATCCAAAAATGCTTGTCGAAAACTTTTTACATTTTTATCTTGCCATACTTTTGTTACAGTATATCCCTCGTTGACCCAAGTTTCGTCTAGATAATAAATATTCCTCCCTTCGTCACGGAATTTTCTAATTGATCTTAAGTAGGATCTTCGCCAACAAATAATTTCATCTTTATCGATAAGAACTGACTTCCTGTTCTGCTTTTCCCAGCAAAAATTCAACTCTCGTAAGACGGCCCATAATTTGCTTCTACTGATTTTTGGCAAATCGTTGTCCTCTGAAAGTTCACTTAAAATTTTGTTTAGCGTTGGTATTTCTTTTTTAAAATAAAATGAGTGTACTTTTCTGCGAATGACATTTTTGAAGAAATCATCTATAACGACTTTTGACCTCCCTGTAGATGATTTTGGGGGATTTACAGTATCTTGTTCATTTTTTGTTTCCTTTAAAAGTCTGTAGATAGTCGATTTTCCAATCCCTGTCATTTTTGTTAGCATTAGTGTTACCCGATAATTACCTGAAACGAAATATTACCACGCCCATGGCCGGTTCTTATCTCGGGGTTTTAGTACACTCTTTCATTTCCAAACAGACCATAACTAACTATTAATAATAACAGCTCCAACTAATAATGTTTTTAGTTAAAATTGATATAATTAATTAATTAATTTATTTACTTACTTACTTATTTAATTACAATATCCAACGGGCATTGCTCAATTACAGAATAAGGTTACAAACTAAAAATAAAGTAACAAAAATAAGTCAAAGAGATAAAATAATTCTTAAAACAAAATAAATATCACTAAACATAATATTTAAAACAAATAGGTAGTAGACAAATAATATTAAAACGTCTTTATATAATACAAACAAATGCAAAAACATACTTATTTTTCTAGGACTCCTCAACAGAAACGTGCAGTAGCTTATCAACGACGCCCGAAAACGACCTTGAATCGCCCAGGACGTTCGAGAACGATGACAGCGATTGCAGCGACTATTCCACAGACGACTCCTTTCAGGAGTTTAAACTGAAAGATTGGCTGAAACTCGCCAAGGTACTGGTCAGCAAACACGAAACGCCTGCAAATAAAAGCAAACTTCTTGGCAAGTACGACGAGTTGCAAGACTTCTTTTACTTCTTCGCGGTAGAGTACTTGACCGGTGATGGAAACATGACTGAACTTGTGAGCAGCAAGAGGACCGAATTCGTGACGATGTGGCAGGATATAATTGGTCATTGCGATTCTATTTTCGATTTTTTGCTCGATCTGATGGATGACATCAACGTGGAGAATAGTTTTAGGCTATAATTTAATCTTTTAAGACTAACTGATGTCGGAGGTTGATGATATTTGATACGTTTTTATCGTATATTTTTTACTGTGGTGAAATTACTTTTAATAACTGAAAGCTGTATTTTTTTTTAAATATATTCTCATTGTAAGGACGAGTTTTTTTATTTCACATACTTAAACAATAATAATAATCTTTGTTATCCTTATTTTTTAGACAAAAAATACAAAAATAAACCAACACAAATATAGCAAATGTAAACAAACAATAGAATTAAGTTTAAAACCATTGTTTATAAAAATAATTGTTAGGTTTTCTGTGCCTATGGTCTATACCTTAGGTGGATTAGATGTAATCGCCAATTAATTAAAAGTCACATAAAATCATTCTGCCTTATACAGGATGTTAATTAAGTATGTACAATAAATTCAACAGACGATTATTTCAGTGATTTTAAGACAAAAAGTTCAGATGCTTCGTTTTCAATATATTTTTGCCAAAAAAAATGTACCCCACTGACTTTTTTGTCATTTTTATATATTTTTTGGATTAATCAACTAAAAATACAACTTTTTTGTCTCTTGAATGTTCTTCGTATCTTGATTAATTTTTGGAGAAAAAAAATAAAATCCACCAAACTGCATATCCCTGAACCACATAAGAAACATTATTAAAAATATTCGTTAAGGTACCTCTCAGGACGCCACTGGACAACAAATCTAATCCAGTTAGGGTTAAACCAGCCCCTTAATACTACAAACAACACTGCCAAATTACAACAAAATTAGGTAAAGGGTATTTAAGATATTTACGAAATAACAATTTTTTTACAAAAGTATAACATCCTGTATTTTGAAAACGAAGCATCTGCGGACCAATGTTTATATGAACTTTTTGTCTTAAAATTACTTAAATAATCGTCTGTTGAATTTATTGTACATACTTAATTAACACTCTGTATGTACGAAAAATTTTATTTAAAATGGAATTTTTTCATTACAAAATGTATAAAACCAAAGTTCATAAATTAATAGAGATGGCAAAATTAAAATTTTATATAACTTAAAAATACTTTTGCAGCCGCTTTACATACCTAAAAACTAAGATCTTTCGTATGTTAGAATTTTTTTTTCGTTTTAATTTTTATTCATTAGATTATTACTTGCTGGTTTTAACAATTCGACTTTTATTTACATATACAGATCAGCATAAATTGAATCGATGAAAAAGTATGTCATTTATGTAGAATAAAAATAGTACTGGACTTACTGTAGATCCTTGCGGAACACCTATACTGATTTCGGTTATTTCTGAATGAATAGTTTCTGTAGGTTTAAGACCACTATAGTTAATACGAATACATATATAGTTGTCTTTTAACAAGAAAACTTTTCATCCAATCATAGCACTGCCTCTTATACAATAGTTTATTGTGGTTGACATAGTCGAATGCCCATCTGAGGTTACAAAATATTCCAACAAATAAAATGAGTAAACAGCTATTGATTTTACCTTTATAAAATAATGTCGGCGATTTGAAAATAGTTTGGGCTCATTTAAAAAAAATATAATAACCTTTCTAGAAACCTGGACCCTAGAACTAGAACCTAGAACCTAGAACCCTAGAAACCACCGATTTTATTTATTAATAAATCTATTACTCTTTTTGTTAAAAAGATCTGTATATCGCCAATGTCAGGCTAGTTTGTACTTTAGATTTTTTGAGAATAGTGAAAATTGTCCAGGGTTACATTAATTAAACAAAAATTTTACTTTTTTAAACTTCGTTTAATTATTCTACATATAAAATTGTTCTGAAAATCATATACACTAAAAATAAATTAAAAATATATTTGAATTCAATTTTTTCTGCACCAGACCCAATGGTTTCGTTCAACCAGGACATGGAGTACCTGATATTTTCGAAAATAAAGAGCTGATTAGGATCCTCGCATTCCGATTCTACAGACAACACACCTATGAGTTTTTTTTCACAAACCAGTGGGTTTCCAGCATTATTCTAGAAACAACAAAGTAACAACTCAGAAAAGAATGTTTGAATTAAGCTTTTGTTGATATATTTGATAAATAGATGCCAGATAATTTATGTTTTATTCATATTTTTTTTCAAATATGAACCTTTTCAATCCTTGATACTTACAATACATTGGGTAGTCTGTGGGTACTTTTTGTTGGTACAAATGTTATGCGGATAATTTACACAATCGATTAGAACAACTTCCATTACTTGAAATTCGTAAGAATCCTGGAAAGGGTAAAACAATTTTAATGTGCGTCCAACAGCGGACACTGTATATTATGGATTTTAAATGTCAACATTGATTAAATTTCTGTCTAATAACTATAGGACTACTTAGGCTTTAATAACAATTGTTACAATTTAAGGTATTCCCCACGGTTCAAAACTGAGGCCACCTATTAAAACTATTTATTAATCTTGACAAGATGCATTACTGTCCGTAATTCTTTAATATGTTGTTTGTTTTTTGTACGTGTTAAAAATATGCATCAAAATCACCAGTAAAAATAGAACAAGAGAAGCAATATAAATTTTGTAGAATATCATTACTGATATCATCATTGATACACGCATAGAAGCAATTATGCTACTTAATACCTCATTTTTTAACATCCATTACAGTTTTACTAAAATGAAGTACCACTCAACAGCTGAATTAAAATGTGTGTCATTAAAAACCAATCTCGTCTAGAATACCATTATATCCCCCATTTTTTTCCATTAAATAAAAAATGCCTCATTATCATAAAACACTTTTACAGCAATTGGTATCGTCATATCCTTGACGACCATCTTTATTACACAAAGTGCTCTCGGCCCATCGACATGAACTTAAAAGCGCTGTCAATTACATTGTATTTAAATCTAAGCGCTGTTTTTGGGCTTTTGCCATTAGCACAGCCTGACTGTGAAGGAAGAGAACAGTTTTTAAAAGTCTTAAAAAAGAACAATCCCACGGATGTTGTGTATGTTTTTGATGAAACCGAGTGCGAGGATTGGTCGGCAGATATATACAGGATGTTCCAGCCGGTGTACACCATAAATCTTGAATGTAAAGGGAGACTTTTCAGGGAGTACAGTATAATAAAGGATAACGATACGGTCCTGAACAACGAAAATTTGTACATAATATCTATGAGAAACTTCAGCCTGTTTGAGGGAGTCATTGATGACATTCGCCATCTTGTATTTTGGAAGGCAAGACATAGGCTGGTTTTTATTACAGAAAATGACACAGGAACTGTTGAAAACTTTACGGAACGCTTCAAATACTGTTTCAAATATTGGATTATAAACGTTGTAGTAGTTTTTGGCCATAATCTAGAAGTGGCTTACACTTACAACCCTTTTGAAAGCGATTATTTCATAGAAAAAGATATTTCCGAAGCGTTTTTCGACAAAACCCTAAACCTGCATGGCTTTCAGCTGAACATCACTATGTTTCCTGAAATTTCGAACGCTAGGGAAGTCAATGGTTCTTACGAAGGCATCGACGGTTGGATGTCTACAATTATAATGGATGCTATCAACGCCACCTATAGATACGTGGTGCCCTCTGGCGGAGCGGTTTTCGGAGCATTTAACGAGACCAGTGCGGACGGGGCTTTAGCAGATATTATTCCCGCGCGGACTCAGGTTGGGTTCAATTCGAGGTTCTTCAGAGATAAACTATACAAAGTGGTAAGCATTAGAACTATATTAAGTTCGCTTTACATATTCCAGTGAAGTAAATAAAGATCAAAACAGTAACGCTTTTTACTGGGTGTGCTGCATGGTAGGTTTTAACAGGTGTTTTTTATTTGATGTATTTGTTTGTAGTATAAAAATAGGTGAATTTGGTTCCAATTTCTATTCTTAAAAATAATATAGGGTGGCCAAATGAAAATCAAACAGAGCCATTTTCAGGAACTGCGTCAAGATTGTAGAAAAACGCTCAGACCCGTCGATTTTAGATTAATATTCTTTGCTGGTATTTTTGACTCCGCCACTTTCACCCCCAAGCAAGGGTAAGCATCACCCTAAAATATTTAAATGGCATTGGGGGTTGAGTTAAATTTCTTCTGAAAGCTCTTACAATTCTCTTTACAACAGATTTTAAATTTTATAATTCCGCCCAATACTTTGAAAAAAATTTACAATTTAAAATTTAAATTATGTTTAGTTGCTTACTTACTACTTAGTTGATTAAATGTTCAAACTGATGACCGCCCGCTTCCATACAAGAATAAAGATTTTGTTCGAAACGTTCGCACACATTTCGAAGCATTTCCGGAGTGATTCGACGGCATTCGTCGACGATTCTTTGACGCAAATCTTCCAGCGACGCTGGCTGTGTTTTATAGATTTTACTTTTTAGGTATCCCCACAAAAAGAAATCAAGGGGCGATAAATCCGGTGATCGTGGAGGCCACTCAATGCTGCCTCTTCTCCCAATCCAATTCCGTAGAAAACGTTGGTCCAAATACTGACGGACAATTAACGCATAATGCGGAGGAGCACCGTCCTGTTGAAAAATCAAATGATCTTCATCATACTCTGGAACATTTTCAATAATATCAGTCAAGGCAGGGTCAATAGCGTCTTCCAGTAATTGCAAATACATTTGGCCAGTCAAATTACCAGGTAGAAAAAAAGGACCCACCAGCCGGTCACCGAAAATTCCAGCCCATACATTTAATTTTTCCGGTTGCTGTGTATGCACCTCGTGAAAAACTCTTGGGTTTGAATCGGACCAATAGCGGCAATTGTGACGATTTACCGTCCCGTTCAAGAAAAAACTGCATTCATCAGAAAAACAGATGTTAAAAAGGAACTGTGGATCGTTCCCTGCTCGCTCACTCATTATTTCGCAAAATTGCAAACGGCGGTCATAATCATCCTCATGAAGTTCCTGGACTAAATGTATTTTGTATGGATGGAATTTATTCTTCTTCAAAATGGTTTGTATGCTAGTTCGATTGATCCCAGACACAGATGCCAGCTGCCTCGTACTTAATGTAGGATCAAGATGAACTTGTCCCAAAACTGCAACTTCACTAGCTTCATTAACTATAGGTTTTTCAATTTCTCGTTTTTTATTGGCTACGTTCCCTGTCTCTTGAAATTTTTTTACTAACTCTAGAACATACTTCCTCCTGACATGTCGATCTTGATGTTGTTCATTAAATAGCTGAGCTGTTCTATTCGCACATTTATTGTTCATAAAGTAAAGCGAAATGATATCTACCCTTTCCGCAATGGAATAAACCATAGTGTTTAATTTTCAAAAACACAATTAAATAAACTACCAACCAACGCTTCCAAATAATACTAGAAAATAATTTGGAATCCACTAATTTTACGTTCATTGTGTGTGTATAGCATTCATTTCTGTTTTTTACAATTGTGTTTTTTTTACGAAAGTGATAACAAATCGCCAAAAACCAATGTAACGCAAGAAATACTAAATTTATACCATTGGCGTACTTAACTCGAATGACTGACATTTTTACCGTTACTAATTGTTTGTACATAAGTTTCAACTTTAAAATCAAAATTCTTAATAAGTATTGGGCGGAATTATAAAATTTAAAGTCTGTTGTAAAGAGAATTGTAAGAGCTTTCAAAAGAAATATTACTCAACCCCCAATGCCATTTAAATATTTTGGGGTGATGCTTACCCTTGCTTGGGGTTGAACGTGGCGGAGTCAAAAATTCCAGCAAAGAATGTCCCCCTTTAATCTAAAATCGACTGGTCTGAGCGTTTTTCTACAATCTTGACGCAGTTCCTGACAATGGCTCTGTTTCGTTTTCATTTGGCCACCCTGCATATTCCTTTCCCGTTGTTTTAGGCGGAACTGACATACAGCCATCGAAGGAACGATTTGGTTGTATTGGTGCCCATAGAAAGAGCAAACACACTCAGGAACGTCTTCGCCCTGACTTCACGTCTTACTTGGGCGCTCGTTTTGGGTTTGGCTGTTCTTATATTCCTCTACATCTACATTTTTAACAAACATCTGGATTTTGGCACCATAGTGACGGTCATAATTCTTGTCATAACCTGCAAACCACTACACGACCTCACATTTAGCAAATTTAGGATTCTATTTATGTCTGCGATGTTCCTCATGTTCTACATCATAGCAGAATTCAACTGCAGGTTGACCAGCGTGCTTACCGTCTCTTTCGTCCCCCCTTCACCGCGTACACTCGAGGAATTGTGGGAAACCTCCCGCTACAGGATCAAATCTCGTCCAAGCTTTGCTAGGCATCTGACCACATACGTAGACTCCGAGTTGGGAAGGAAACTCATGAGTAACGCCGAAGGCCTTGATAGGGACATCCAGATTCAGCAAATAATGAAGTGCAACAAAGAAATCATTATCTCTAAGCGCGACATAGCGAAGAACGCCGTTAAAAAGAGCCTGATAAAAGACAGGAACATATGTTACCGGATCATGAAGGAAATTTTCATGCCGAATGTTCAGGTCTACATCGTACCATATGGCTCGCCTTTTCTTGGACGGTTCGATGATATCATACAGAGGTTAAAGTCCAACGGTATATTCGCTTTTTGGGAGAGGGGTCCTAAAGCTTCTAGAAAAGAAGAAATAAGCAAAAAACCATACAAGATATCTCTAGATACATTATTTGTGGCTTTTGCCGTGTTGGGGCTGGGACTGATCATTTCTACGTTGGTTTTTCTTTACGAATACAAATCAGTACGAGGTCATAAATCGTAATTATCCAAAGGAAAGTATATTTAAAATATTTTAATAGCACTTTGAGTAGCTAGTAATGGTTGTATTATGCTGGTGTTTCTTTTTGATGCACACACGACACCTTTGAATCCAATTTTCGCGCACTCGTTGGAACACGCCTCAAGAAAAGGAAATAGTGGTACGCAGGAAACATTCAGACACGGTCCAGTTCCAGATACCAACTGAATTGCGTATTGCTGGCTGGACAGCTTAGTACCTCGTGTTATTCGCCGCGCCGTAGTCACATTGCTCGATATGAAATTTATCGAATTTTAAATTTATTACAACGCTAATTGTTTTTTAGAATTAAGCATAAAGACATTAAAAAAGTGATAAACATTGTATTTTATGGTATTCTATGCACACAGTTATGTCAATATTCCTTAATTAATCGAAAGAAATTATGTCCCGAAGTTACGAACCATACTTAGGAAACACCCTGTATTATTAGTAATAATAAAAATAATTTTATTCTATACAGACCTGATTCCATCCAGTAACTATACAGTCGTTGTATTTCAAACTTGTCACATGCTTTTCTACGTCGATCTGACTTACGAGGCTGTCTGTTTCAAACCTGCCTTCAATCTGTCAAAATGACATTTAGTTCATGCAACATTAAACAATAAATAAAACAAAATCATTTCTATTGGATGTTTTCCGCAGTCTTTTTAACAGCGAGACATTTGCTTAATAGAAAAGCTTCCGACAAAAACAGAAACTAGAAGGAAATTTTTTGCATAACAAGGAGTCTTAAGACTCTTATACATAGAAATATATACAAGGTGTTTTGGAAACACTGTGTCATAAAGTGATATCGATATAGAAGTATTAGTGTGCCAAATTTCAATAAAATCTTACAAGGTTATTTGAAAAAAAAATACTTTGATGGTAGGAAACCGTTGTAGTTTCATGTACATAGAATATTGGGACACATACACACACTTTGTGGTACTTTTTTTGCTATTACCAATATTTATATAAATAACCTGACCATAAGTTCGAAAAACATCCATTTTGTAAGGTTTGAGGATGGTCGAAATCTTACCTCGATCACAGCTAGATCGTTGTCCATCGAAGTCTTGTTGAAGAGCGGGTGAAGGGTGATATTGGCCACCCCAAAACTCCTCCAAGCTGACTCGTTCAATTTCCGTCTTCCAGCAGCTACTGTGACTATAATAGGTGGCATCAAACCTCCCCATCTGTAGTACATGCAGTGAGCTGCTGTCAGGACTATCTTGGGGGATATAATGGAACCACCACAAATGAAATCATCGTTGTAAGAGTAGTGTAGGGATACTTGGAAAGGAGGATATTCCTTGTTGGACTCCTCAATAAAAAATAAAATGTAGACTTAGGTATTTGTTTCTATTGTATAAAAAATAACTTACTTGGTTTGGAACATTTTGCGTAGTAGTATCGATGTATGTAGTAGTAATAGCTTCTGTATTTGCTTGTGCTATGTTGGTAGTCGTTTGGTATTCAGTGATGTTCTCATATCCAGTTACTTAACAAGGAAAATTAATTTTAGATGAAATAAATCGGAGACGTTTCACATTTCTACTTTTACCTGGAGTACTAGAAGCACTAACAACTGGTACTAAACTAACAAGAACTAAATAAATCAAACTGATGCACATTTTTGAACGCCTTCAACTACCCCACCCATTCACAATTAAATCTCACAACACTATGATACATATTTAAAAATATCTACTAAATTAAATTATGATATATAGTTCACTGTGACGAAAAGCCGTAAAATAATAAAATACCGCACTCCAATGTAAATATTTTAGTCTGTTATCTCTTCAGAATCTGTTTGTTCTATTATTCAAAGATACTCAGCGAAAAATACTGTTAGCAGATTAGTTAAAAATTATCTTTGCAGCACTGAATGTATACAGGGTTAATCAAAAGTTATCCAAAGAAAAGGAGTACGCAATGGATCCGAATTCAGGTATTATGAAAGTATGATCGGTGTCGCTTTCATAGTAGTCCAGACACTGAAGGCGAAAATAAAGTAAAAGCTCCCAATTTTTTCGGATAGCATGAATTTACCTGAATATTTACATACAAGCTCATCTGACCCCCACTTCAAAAGTTATATTGTCTAGATGTGTGCTTTTTTCTATTTGGGGGTGAAAACTACCCTTGTACGAAAATAGCAGATTTACGTATTTTAAAGACTCAATTCATGTTCAAATATGTTGGATAAAGTTCCTTTCATATCTTTTTATTATAATTTATGAAATTTAATTACTTTTCAACCCTTAAAAATTCCCACCCTCCAGAAGGGGTGGATCCACCCTTAGGGTAAAAGCACACATCGGCACTATATAACTTTTGTTTCTTGGGCTATTCCCTACCTACAGTTCAAATTTCACGCCAATCCATTCCATCCGAAAAAATTGGTAGCCAAAATGCTTCAGCGACTGGACTATAGTTCCTAAAATACAGGTCGCTTTCTGCCATTTTTTGTCCTCTTTGTATGTCTCAGTACGTTTTTTAAATCTCCAGTTTCAATAAGACGCTGATGTACAAGACTAAACATCGTATGATGCGGAATTACGCGATTTAGATAAGCAAGATTATAAACGAAGTACATATGACACATTTCAGTATTTGTATAGTTTTGCATTTAAATTATACACCTGCTGTATTAAATGACAGATATAAGCACAATGGCAGCTGGTGACATCAATGTATTATTTTCATACATCCTTGATTAAAAAAAAAACAAAAGATAAAGGAAAAAATAGTAATCGTAAGATAGTGAAGTATGTAGTTTTTATCACTTATCAGTTTAAAATAAAAACTAATTTGTACACTGGCTATTTTTAACCCCTAGTCAAAAAACATGCGGACGGTCATGGTAAAGGTAAGAGAATTAAATGACATACTCCGATTTATCTTTTATTAACAAAATTAAACTATAAACATAAAATATCACCACCGAGACATCTTGCTGCGTCGCAATATGCTATGTACAGTTAAAACGGGAAAGTTACCACTAGAAAAAACTAGGTGTAAAGAAGCTGCAGGACTAGATGAAAGTACGTATTGATGACAATGCTCGATGTCTCGGGTCTGTGTTGTATACCTAGTAATATATTTTTGCGTTTTTACAAATTGTGAGCGGCACATATAAAAAATATCAAAGGATATCAATGTGAGGGAAATTATTTTGTCAACAAGAATAAAGAAAATCGTTCCTGAAAAACAACGTGAAAATTAATCTATAAAATATTGACATTAACTTAATTAATTGAGCTTATTTTGTTTTAAATATATTCGTATTTTTTAGTACTTTTTAGTGAATTTGCGAACTTCTATATCTTGAATTGGTACGGTAAGTATGAATAAAGTACGTTATCAAATATTTTAAGCTTACATATACCTACGAACAAAGTTCTATTTATTGCATTTTCTTTATTCTTGGAAAATGAATTCCAAATTAATTTTATAAATACTGGGAACAAGACACAAAAGCTGGAAAAATTAGAATAGAAAGTCAATTTAGGTATTTTTAAAAACTACTTTTCGATGTACTGGACTAATAAACAAAAAAGTACAGTTAGGGTTCTATAAAAAATATAACCTATACGGTTATCCTTACTTACCCTTTGTGACTTGTTCAAAAAATAACAGATTAGTTACTATCAAGAAATCCTAGCTTTTCATAAATTTTGATATTTACAGGGCTCTAACTTATACTAAATTATTATCCTATCTGATCTATACAAGGTGTTACAGTACAAACTCTTGTACAACAAAGGCCCACGTAGGTTCCTAATTTAGGAAAATATCGATCAACGAAGGCCTTGGCTGTACTTTTCTCTAAACAGAACGGACTATGATATTGACAATTGACTTATTTACAATTCTTTAAGTCGTTGTATATGTGGAAAGCAATAATTTCCATATATGTACTTAAGTACAAAATACGATTTATTTCTGAAGTAATTGGAGATGGAATAGATAATTACAGGGCCCAAATCTAAACCTTGAGGAACACAAAAACTCAAGGTCAATATGATAATTTGGAAAGGGTCTTTATTTGTAAATCACAGTTGAAATTAAAGAAAATATCTTTGTACCTGTGAAAGTAAGAACCAATTATCCTTAGATTTGGCACGAGATACGTGTGGAGTGATGAAAATCCTAAAGAAACACGACAATAATAACTTTACCTGATAGCCACAACAATCAACATTTTGTTTTCATCGCCAACTGAACTCAAAGTTTGAAATCCGTGACATTGCTACGCCAACCGAAACATACAGACCTGCAAATAATGCCATTTTTCTCAAGAATGACTTTCTGTAGGCGATTTTCTCAAGAGACAATATATATTTTTTTAAATAAAACTACCTTTTAAAAAAATACGACCACTGTAAAAGTTTTGATACCTAAAAGGGAGAGAAATAAATACGACCACTGTAAAAGTTTTGATACCTAAAAGGGAGAGGTAACCAGAGAAAACTATCACCAGGTATATCGATTTGACTAGAACTTTAAGAAATAATACGCTATAATAGTCCAAATAAATGTGCCAAATTTTAATGCGATCGAAAAAAGGGTTATGAAGTCATTAATTAAATTAGTTTTATTCTTGACAACTCTGAATGCTTGCGACTCAAAAACTAAACATTTTTTATTTAACTTTTTTTTCGTAGATCGTATTTATTTATCGTTGTGAATATACAGCCAAACATTGTCGGTGAAATTTGAGGACACCTTGTATGGGCCCTTTATTTAAATGTAGATGTAAATTCACCAGTCACAAAAATTAAAGGATAAAAAACAATCCTAAATTTTTGGGTGATTTTCAAAAGGCTGCAACTTGGTGAAAAATGGTCGTACAGCAAATCTAAGCAGGGTTTTGAAATCTTCAGAGTGTTCTCTATAAGAAGTAGTCGTATTTTTGATAAAAAAAAAATTTTCGATGCAAGAAAATAAAAAGGTAAAAAATTGCATATTTAACGATTTTCGGTAAACTTGAAATAACTTTACAAATCATGAGTAGACTAAGGATAATTTAATTTATTTTTTTTTTAATTCAAAGTATTCCAAAGAAACCCTCAATTGTGATTCGAATGATTGAAATTGTCACATTTACTAAAAATCAGATAAAAATAAATTTTGCAACTTTTTCAGATCTTGAAACTAGAATGTTCAGGCTTGAATTTGCTTTTTATTTTATTGTTCTACGACCATTTTTCGCCGAGTTATAAAATTTAGGATTCTTTTTACCCTTTAATTTTTGTGACTAGTTTATTTTGTGCAGAAATAGTAAAGATCTTATGGCTATTTTTACGTGTTAGAGCTACAAAATTACAAGAAAGATGATGAATAATCAACAAATTAGTTTTTGAATTAGCTGTATTTAGATATATTGTTTTTATTTTTTATACTAGCTGTTTGCTGTATATATTGTTGGTATAATTCAATGCCATTTGGGGTGCGCAACCCAGAGCAATTGTTTCCTGCAATATCAACATTTTTGGGTGTTGTCTGTGGGTTTAGATATCTTTTGGTATTAAAGAATACTATTTGACTCCGTTTGATAGGACTTTTAGGAAAATGGTTTGAATTCATTCGTACCTTTAAAATAAGGTAAAAATATATTGTTTTTTTTTTAAATTTTGCCTTTCAAAGCGTGCTTGTAACATCCTGTACATGGAAAATATGCTTTCCACCCATTACTGACACTACAATTGCATCAAACGTAATAATTTCCCTATTGTTTTACCTATTCAATAAGTATTTTATTTAACCCTGTTGTATCATTACTTATGAATTACAGTATAATATAATCTCATATATATTTTACATGTTAGTATATTTTTCATTAAATAGCATGACGGAATCGGGTTTAACTGGCTACAAACGCTTATTTTAATTTGTATGTGGTCTGTTGAGAAAATACCAGAACTTTTTTAATTTCGCGCTAGTGATATGCGGTTGGCAGCACTACGTTGCGCGTAATCTCTTCTGTAACCACGTGTTCTTGGATTGTTGACATCTCATTTAGTTTTCGGGATATTGTTATTTGAGTGCAAGGTGTTCAAGTGTTAGTGTCGATTTTTGAACGCCGTTTTCAGACTATTCATGACATCAAAGCAAATTCGTCACAAACTGTAAAGGCCATTGCAAATGAAGCTTTCCAGAACTGCTTCACTAAATGGAAACAACAATCGGAAAAGTGTATGAATAGGTGACATTAACAATAAAGTTTAAAAAAAGTTCGGTTATTTTCTGAACATACCTCGTATCACTCTGTAACCTTTGCAAATAAACGAATTTTATCGCCAATTTACAATCGGATTGTGCGAAGCCTTTTCAGTGCAATATTTTTATACATGGGCGATCCGTTCACACGAATGGGATCCATACGTGATAGAACGACCCTTATAGACATCCCCAACAACTATATATGTAGAAATCGGGGGCAAATTTCCATTCTGTCACGTGATTGATTGATCCCCCCATACATTTCCATCGTACACCTTTCACTCCTCAGTTCCCATTCTACATTCCGAGCAGTATTTATGCCATATATCTTTCAGAACAGTGTACCTGTCGACTTGGCAAATAAAGGAGATCGTTGATAAGGAGACGGATAGGAAATAACTTATCTTTGTAGTTATGGCCGTCTTTCAGGCTGTTACGGTAAAGGAAAATGTTGTTTTGTGTAATACGGGCTTGCTAAGCTAATGATTTAGTCGTTAAAAGCTTAACTTACAGCGTGTTTCCGTGATACGACTTTTGCAACTTTTGAACAATAGTTTGTATGGATTTAGTCCTTCTTGTTTGTGAAACAAAATGTGCTTTGATTTTATTCGTCAGTGGATTGTCATTAGGAAAGCGTTTTATAGACAAGAAATCGCGCTTTTAGTAAAACAATGATAGAACAAGTAGATCCATTCAGGAAGTGTAGAAGCGTAACTCTAAGCTAGAGTAACTTCCTTTAATTTTTCGCTTTCGATCATGGAGAACATGTAAACATCAGAAAATGTACCTTTCCTGTTTTGTGCAACAAATTTGTAAAGATACTCAATAACTGTGATTAATGCATGTGTTAACAGTTTCCCAAAAGTATTCTGCGGTGTGTGATTATGTTTATTGTACCTTACGCGATGTTCTGTATGTTGAACAGGCGTGCAAAATTCAGGAAACGTAAGATAAACATACGGGGTAAAAATATGCTTTTGTTTTCCTTATTTTGAATGTATTGTTAATTGTCTTACACCCTGAAGAAAACTTATATAACTGGTAAAGTGAAGAGATATTGTTTCTAACGTGCTTAGATTTTCTAAAATGCTGGGCAAAAAATTGCGCATACAAGCGCCCTCTTTCAAAAAAGGTTTTCATAATGAAAAACCTCACGTTATTAAATTAATTTTAAATCTAGTAAGCTTTGGGCTTTAGAAATATCTGATTCTATCCGACAGTGAAGAAAATTTTCTTAAAATGAAACATTGAGTATATTATGTGAAAAATATTTATGTTCTATGCATACCTTGTAAAAAAATTAAAACACGTAAAATGTCAAGTACTTTGGAGAGTTCGATTAGTGTTTCGATATTTTTCGAAGTACTTTCAAAATTTTTTATGTATTTATAGGTACATATTTGGGTTTTTGAGGTATTTTGATGTTTTTGAAAGTTTCCGAAGCATTCCTAAAGTCTGAGGCTGATTTGACGTCTCTTGTTGTCTTCTACAGCTGTTTTGATTAATTTTGATTCGTTTTAAAGCCGTTTTGATGCATTTTGACGTACCTTATAGAAGTTTTGTCGATTTTTGAAGGATTCTAAAGGATTTTAAGCGTTTGACGAATATATGTCCTGCAATTACTACAAGGCTGCTTTGAGATATTTTACTTTATTTTGTATTGGTTTCTTATTGTCTCGTAACTTGACTTGAAGGGGGTATTTCTTTTTATTTAGAAATATTTTTCAATATATTTGTGATTTTTCGAAATTTTCTTCTACTGTCCTCAAATAAAATGTCCTAGATTTGAGGTTTTATGGGATCTAAAGAAAGCTAAAATCCTAAATACAAATGTGAAAAAAATTTTTATTTTGAGACTACTTTCGGGAAACAATTTTCCTTTAGTAGAATAATCTTCTTCTGAGTAGAAAGTGACCTTTTTGTGTGAGATATGACAAAATGTTATGAAGAACAGTTTCTCATCATAAAAATCATCACAATATCAAGCAAAATATCAAAGTATACTCAGTGTTTTATTTGTAGTAACGTTTTGTGGCATCTCATAGTACTTTACTGGCGAATAAGAGCAGATTTTTCTAAATTTCCAAGGCTTACTGAATTTTACGGATTTCAAGATACCCCAAACCATCAGTTTTCGTTTCTTTCACATAGCCGGGAATATGCTGTATATTAATAAGGGTGATCTAATGGTTGATCGATAGGATTGTAGTGTTTTTTTTGACCAAAAAATAAGAAAAAGTTCGTATGAACAGCAAATACTTTTTATACATCTTTTAAAATTATTCTCTTAAACTGTGTGTTCATTTTTTAGAATATTTACTTTTAATCATATTCCTCCAAATTTTTTTAAAACGTTTTTTTAGGAAAATGTAATTTGGCTATTTTATCCTATTTCAAAATGCCTCTTCACAAAAATCAGAAATTCAAAACAGACAAAAAATTACTCGACCTCTCAAAAAACGTAAACGAAAATAGAAACATACCATACCTATTATACAAGGTGTCCCATTTTAATGTATCAGGCCGCATAATTTTTTTAGTTCGACTTTTATTTCGAACATTATTCGAATATTGTTGTTGTTCGAAACATTGTCTGAATATTTCGAACAAAAGTTATCAGGTTTCGAGGGGGCCAAATTATGATGACCTTGAATTTGATCTTGAAGTCAATTATCAAAGTCATTTCAAGGTTATACTTTTACAGTTTCATTTTAATTCTCAGGCTAATATCTTAAGAAATAAGCAGGATGGTGAAAAATATTTTCTACAAAAGTTGTCAGATTTCGGGGGGATCAAATTACTGTACGTTTGAAATTAACGTTAAAGTCAATCATCAAGGTCACTTCAAGGTCAACGTTGATTTTTTAAGTGGAAACTCATTTTTATTACAGTTTCGTATTCTGTAGGAAAAAATACGTAATATTTGTACGAAACATTTTTTTTGAAGACTTCATTCTATCGTTAAAAAATCAAGATTGACCTTGATAATTGACTTCAAGGTCGAATCCAAGGTCACCATAATTCGACCCCCTCGAAACATGATAACTTGTTTGAAATATTTTTTTTTATAAAAGTTTTAAAAAAATTATGCGGCTTGTATTCAAAATATCGAGACAAAAATTTTTCTCTGGGCTACTGGTTTGTAGCATCTTAATTACGTTTTGTCCATCTCCTAGAAAAATATGAGAAACCTCCAAAACATATTTAAGGTAATATTTTTGTGTAGGAGGGGATAGTCAATTATTATTAAGTATTCATATAGAAATTTAGCATTTTTAGTAAAAAATCGTTTATTTATTCGTTTCCGATCCGCTTTTGTGCCAGTAAAACCGTCCCTGTCCGCGTTCCACCATATCAGCGACCTGTGCGAGTAGCAAAATAAATTTCAGTGAAAATCGAAGCCTAGTACCTAACGTAACACTTAAACCATTACGATACAGTAAAGTGTACTATGAACAACGTGTTTTTTTAATTTTATGTTATATTAAAGCTATAATGATATGTATTTGTTACACGTAAGCCTTGACATTTTTCTTGGTATTAAAGCATGGGTAAAGTTTACTCTGTATAATGATTGAGTATAATAGAACCTGCCTCCGTAGGACGTCCCGTTTTTGTTTTCTCAGAACAGAATTTTGAGCAATAAAAAAAACAAGAACATGATATCTGGTTTTCCATTGAAAGAAAATATGCTTGTAGGTACCCGCTATTTGTTTTTTTTTGGGAGCCTTGGAGGCAGGCCCCGGATGTCAACAACTCACATTAGGAAGACGTCTCCTGACCTAGTGGTTCTACATCAAAAGCAGTTACAAAATTATAGTACACCATCCCGACGATTAGTCAAAACCAGGTAATAAAAGTATAAATAGTTGATCCATCTGGACATGTTGTATCTAAAGATATGAGCAATGCCTTAAAAAACGACAGTCTGTGACTAGTTTAGTCTATTCTTAACAGTAACAATAATAGTCAACAATGATATGTACAAAGTGTTGTCTAATCGACTAGCGACATTGGGTTTGCGCACTCGCCATTTTTTTTTATTACATGATATGTATCTTAATTTAGTCGTTCGTTCAGTCTCGTCGTCACGATGGGGTCATCGTCAGGTGGTGGGTGAGTTTTGTGAGCAGCACCGTCACCAGCAACACGTGGAGCTGCAGGTGCAAGCCGCACGACGACGACACCGGCTCTATCTGGATTATCTCCACCTCCGCCATCTTGAATATGGACAGGAGCAGGTGGGACATGAAGTCCGGGTGTCTGGAGTTTATCCTCTCGCTTATCACCTCCAGCAGCTCCACACATTCCTCCTGCAAGTAAAACAAGTGAAAGGCGTTTGGATAAATGCAGCGGTACAAATCTGCTTCCAATTTTATCTAAAAATACACGAAAATAGTTGTGGTGCCATTGGCTGGGCGGCTCATGTTCCAGATTTGAATCTACTGATTTTTTTTTAATTCGGCGAATAAAGTAATGGATCTGTCGAAAATAGACACACACAGGGACCGCCTAGCCGGGTGTCTTGGCCGGTGGATTTCGATCTGTCGAGGTAAGCATCACGGACGCAGGCTGGAATTTGGATGGGTGACCTAAGGCAGGCTCGGGGATGTGGCTGTGGCAGCCTACCAGAGACCTGGGTCGCTCAACATTTGCCGCATGCGTGTGGTCCCCGGTAAATGGTAATGAGAACAGAGCAAAGAAAATCTCTGTAACTCAAGACCATGCTATCATACATAAACTGTACGAGACTTTGCCACCAAGTCACCCGTGTAGTAAATAGGACGGTTTGAAGAAAAGTACTCGAGTAACGAAGGAGAGTGTACAAGGGGCCTAATAAGGCCTAAGTGCCGCGGTCGAAAAACAATTTCACCACTCTCCGACATACATACGGGGCTGTTTATTAGAACCGGGCAATACTTTAAAAGTAGGCATAGAAAAATAATAATAATAAGAGCCTTTTTCTCAGGATTAATGTGCAGAAAAATGTATAGATAGCGTCATTGTCGAAGATATGTTGCTGTAGTACTCTTTATCTTTATTTAACAACCATACAGGGTGGCCCAATAGTGTGACAAAGTTCAATATCTCCTTATTATAAAGATTTGAAAAAAAAATATTTTATGACAGTGATGTACTTAAAAATGTTCACATTATAAAAATATTTTGAAATATACAGGGTGATGCATTAGGGCGGAGGTGTTTTTTCTTAAATGGAACACTCTGTATATTTTTACAAATTTGCATTCTACAGAAAATTCTCTTTCCAGAAATATTTTTAAAATGTGTTTTAAAACTTTTTTAAGCACATCACTGTCATAAAATATTTTCTTTCAAATCTTTATAATAAGGGAGATCAATGAACTTTGTCACACTATTGGGCCACCCTGTATAATGGGTTGGGTAATGTCCGTTTTTAAGAATTAAAGCTTCATAATTGCCGTGGGTTTGCTTTGTCGTCATCGATCATTACGTGATCATGAGGAACGTTTTCTTCATCGTATTGTGACTGATGATGAATAATGGTGTCTGCACATGAACTTGAAACAGCGGAAAAAATGGTTAAGACCCAAAAAACAAGCAACTCCGTGAGCAAGACCAGAATTTCATCCTCTAAAGACTATGCTGGAAAGGGATTCTTTATTACGAACTCTTACCGATGAATCAAATGGCCAATGGGGAGTGATGTTTAAGTCAAAATTTTCATTAATAATACATGTTTCTCTTTAGGATGTACCGGAAGCTGCTTCATTATAAATTCAAAATATCCAACTAGATTTATTCCCTCATCTCTTATTTAGCTCACATATTCAACACTTTTTTATTGCTTAAAAATCCCAATCCTCCAAAAAACTTAGCTCATCTTTGTAAACCCTTATTTACAAAACGAAAAAAAAACCGCCTAACATCTTGCCGTATCAAGCGAAAGTTGCGTTAAATCATTTATCATCGCGATCGTCAATTTAAAGGCGAATATTTTATTGTTCTGTCAAAAAAATGAGATATGGCCTAATACATCACATTTTATAGAGCGGTATATCTGGCAAAAAGCCGATCGACTCATTGCAAGGGTGGTGATTTGGGTAGAAACGGGTTTTCCAACCTAGATGTTTCTTTGTGTCGTTTTCTTTTTTAGTAAATTGGCGTATCTCTACGTGCCGCGGTTGTGAATTATTGGCAGGGGCGTGAGAGCGAAGCTTTTATAACTAGAGACGAAATGGAAACCTTAAAGAAATTACAGCGGACTACGATCAGGAGTGGGACAACGGTGTAACAAACATCTTTCATGACTCGCAATTATGGGAGAGGTTTAGATACACTAACGGCACTTTACAGGACATACAGAACTGTGTTTATAACCAATAATAGCTAACAGTTGTAAAAAATACGTTCTTTGTTTATTTGCATAGTGTCGACTATTAAACTTGTGCCAATCTAACCCAACAAACTGTATATTGAAAATTGGATAGAGACAATTATTGGCTTTCACGGCAATTTGCAGTAAAACCCCACGACAGGCGCCAGATTACCTTGTAATTAAAGTAATAACGGTTTTCGATACCAAAGAAGTTCCTTTGCGACGATAAGGTAATGAGGATATACATTTTTACCTTTTCCTTTGCCAAAATCTCCACTGGCGACTCTTTAGCGTAGTCTATTCCTTCTGAAAGCCTCGCTATTAGGATCACATTTTCTCGCGTGGCATTGAAGAATTCTAGATTGCAGTAAGTCTGAAATAGAAAATCAATGTAGTAATTATTTCTCGGCCTCGGCAAGAATATGTACATGATCTAAATGTTAACAGTTTTGGGAAGCTCAGCATGTGGAAAAACGAAATGTAACTTTGCAACTTACCCCATTGATAGCCTCTTCCTCTAGAATCTTTTGGAGGACCCTGACGATGTCCTGGATGACCACCACAGTGTGGTTCCTATTGAGCTCTCTTTCGTCTACTTCGCTGTACCCCAGGAAAAAGAAGATCCCTTGCGGCAGAGTGTAGTCGGTGGGCAACGGCTTCATGCATATGAACCTACCCGAGTAGCAGAGGCACCTTCCTCGAAAAGCTTGGTAAGCTGGCGCTGCGTGGTTGTAGAAGGCAAACTCCGTCTTGCAGGGCATCCTGTCGATGCAGATGGTCCTGCAGGACAGTTTCTCGCCTATCTCGCACTCGCAGACGTCGGAGCACTCGAACTCGTCTTCGTGGTAGATCTGTAGAATAGGAAGGTGATGGGCGATGAGAAAAAATGTGAACTCGGTATTTGGGTCTAGAATCAACAAATCGTTTTTTTGACTATTAATGGTTGTTAAGGAGGTATATCGGGGTCCGAGGGAAGTGAGGATCGCAGGGGGGTCCTATGCTTTTCTTATGGGACCAAAACCCGCTACCAACTTGAAAAAATTAAATTCTATTGAAATTATTTGCAATAAACATTATTCATATAGCAAAGAAATCTACTCAATATGCACATAACATACATATTGAAAATTAACAACATAAAAATATCACATTTAAGTAGTTTTAAAATTATAATTAATGAACACATAAACACTATGTACATGTGGCAACAGCGCTAATAATCGAGTGCAGTTGTACACCCTGCGAACCTACACACCTCGGACATCGGAGATATTGCGCGTCAAATTTGGGTAAAGATGCGTACGCGTTCAAAAATGTATTGTGTGTAAACTATATACAATATAATTATTATATATAGCAAATATATCGTATTATCCTCGCGAAGATTTGTATCCTTTATTTAAAATCCGTAAATCATGTGAACTGGTAAAACAACGAGAATTATGTTAATTTAGTTCTAAAGAAATGAAATGACACTCGCGCCCATCTCTCGTCCAAGTCAAAGAAAATGTTGGATGCAATTTTGAAGGTTCTGTGATAGAAATTACATTATTACTCACTGTTCGTGTTTTTAATCTCTATTTTAGTAATGTTACAAAAGTTTTGCAACTATAACTAATTTTTTAGATATAAAGTTTGCTGAGAAATATTTATGTTCCTTTGTTATTCCGTACAAATGCTTTTATCTCAAGTATTACTAATTATATTAATCAAGTAAAGAAAACTTTATGTAACCCTAAATATTGCTGGGTAATGATTACGATGTTTTTATAAACCATTAAATATATTAAAAGGATTTATCAACTGTATTTTTTATTCCAATAAATATATCACAGCTTCCTAGTCTTTTTTAATTAATCTAGTTTTTTAAAAACATTACAAAAAATCATCTGTTGTGGATAATTTATTGTTGATAACAATGTACATGGGATTTAGGAAAAATGTATATGTTTGAAATCAATTTCGTTTTTATCAAGTCTTTCAAATGTATTCCCTCCTTGCTGTCAGCTGATTGCGACGTTGCCACATTAATCCTCAAGTCAGACAGAAATGCAATTATTGGTTTCTGTTTCTAATTAATACAGCTGTACTATGTTCAAAACTTACATTAGTTTTACATCAAAAATAAGATAATACTGTGTACTATCTATGGAAAAGTTTTGTTTCACAATTTCTACATTTTTTTCTCAGTTATGGGCAAAAAAAGAGCCGCACCGTCCATCTTCGCCATATAAATCTATGTTAAAATGAACAACTTTCAACAACAATATCTCAAAACCTACATTCAAAAAAAAATTCAAAAAAATATGACGCGCAGAGGGAGCACTGGGTAATACGCTATATAAATTTCAAGTACATCTGTGCATTTTAGTAAACCCAATATACTTCCTTAAGTAAAATGTCCTTAAGTACTTTTAATTGGAAAGTTTTACAATATCAAGCAAACCTGAATCTCTCGAGTGTAATATTGTTCTTAAGCATAAACAAATCCAACTTTATTAAATTTAAGTATAAAGATTCCAAGTAATCCTGTAAAACTTTTCACTTTACCCCCCTACTGTCATGTCATTCCTGAACAAGTATACCAACACAAAACGTACGCATTGAGTCAACCTTGGTAGCTATGCTGATAGGAATTTATTCATAATAATTACTAAACAAACAATAATTTATTATTTTAGATAAAGTTCCGCCCGCTTTTGTTTATTTTATACTTACCCTTTTGTTACCAAAACAAATGAGTAAATTTTCATAGCCTTCTGCCTGAAATGATCCGCAAAATCAAACATAAAACACCTGGCTATTATCCAGCTTTCTTTAATTTATTACGAAAGTGTACAATCTTCTTCAAAATTGTTGATTTTTATAAGTGTATGACTGTCCTTATACATTATTAATAAGCCGTGTTATTTCTACGAATAAATATCGTAGCTGATGAATTATTCAATTCTACGTTAATATAGCTGCCTTTATTTTGGTAGTTATTACTAATGGATAATTCTGATTCGATTCGATACCCATTCTCCATATTGCAAAACTATGCGGTCCTTATTTTAAGTGATTCAATATCCCGGTCCTAAACAGGGCCGTGCTACAAAGTAAACGTTAATTTGAATATCCACACGGCCTCATCCACACAAAGGGATGTATATTAAGTGGAGACGCGTAATGGATTTTGGCACAGATAAACAATTATTAGAATTGATATTTCGTCAGCTCCAGGGGATGGAGAGCTGGAATTTCACTGCTTTTCCGGCATTTTACACGTTTTTACGCTATGCTAGTGTATACGGGTCGGATCATTTCGCGTCGTCCCAGTGGCGGGTTAACAATAGAAAAATGATACAATACATTAAAACTGTTGCAATTATTGCTTAAGTCTTGGTTTTGGGAAACTTTATATTTTTTCTATAAGCTACCCTAAAGGTAAAATTCATTTTGAAGAAATGATATGTACTAGAAAACATAAGTTGGTGATATTAAGTTCACATTTTGAAGGATTATAAATGAAAAATGTTAACCCAAAACCACTTCATTGATAAATTTATGATACATTTCTTAAGCCGAATGGCATCCTAAGAAATTCAGAAACTCCGAATGGTGTTAGAGCTTTTTGGAAAATATCTTAAATAAGTTCTAACAATATTTTCGAAAATATATTACAACCACGAACATGTAAATTTAAATCACAAATATGTGGCAATGAATATCGATTTGGCATCGTGATATTATTTAATTGTCTTATTAAATAGTTGAATTCATCTTTATGTATGTTAATGTAGGACATGAAAATATAGCTCTTAATGTATACTCTCTCCAAATTTTTGCTCTCAATATTAATAATTGACCTCACAGTGATTAAATAAAAAAAATATATCTCAGCTTCTAATCAACTTAGAACAACGATTTTTTTTTAAATTCGAGGAAAAATAGTACTAACTAAACTATAGAGACTACTATTTCATTTTATAATAATTCCCTATCTTAAGAATTTAATAAATATTTTTTCAAAGTCATTTTTAAACAAATTAAATTCTCAGTAAATGCGTATGTCAATACTAGCTATTTAGGTACAAAAACAACTAATGACCGAAACTCTACAACATCTGTGAGCTGAGGAAAAATGAATTGAAAACAGCATCTCCTTAGATAACAAATTCTGCCAACGCCAAACTAATGAAGCTTTCGGGCTGACATTTTTACCACTTATTAAGGGTGCAAAGAGCTTTAAAAATCCTGAATTACAAGTGTCTGCGATGATTTTCGACCATTTTTGAGCTCTCGAGCATAATCAGATTATCGGAATTTAATTGGATTTGTCTCATTTTACAGGTTTATTTAATACCTATCTTTTTGTATAAACCTTTTTTCGCTATGAATAACAGTTTTTTTACGCTAGTCAAAAAACCACTTTTCCATAACTTTGACCATTGTTTAAATAAAGTTTCCCTACTAGTCTCGAGTTGATTTTTTGATATTTTGTTTATAACACGTTATCGAACAATATTCCACAGAGAAACTTCTTATAGTATGTTTTTCCCGAAACAGGCTGTTCCATGTCTATAATGACTGGACTATATGTCAGCAGGATTATTCTTAGGTAACTTATTATGTAAAGGTATATAAAACCTTCATACCACATTATGGAAAAGCCAACTAATTATTATATATTGCAATAATTTGTAGATGCAAGAAGAGATGTTTTACAGTTGTTGAAGAGTATGGTGGTTAAATGTCACCGATGCTAACAGAATGTTAAGTAAAAGAATCAATCCAAAATCAACATGTATGTATGAGGAAATACAATCTCGTCATTTTGACATTTTTGGGGCGTCGGACTACTCGTACGCTGCATGATTTTTGTCGGACAAGTTGACCATAGTTTGTTTCACAAATTACTTAAGCAATTACGCAAAATGGAACTTGCATGCATAATGATGTCATTTTGACATTTTGGGGATTTTCGAAGAGGAAAAGTTTGTCGGACTAGTTATAAAAAAGCACTCACAAAGTTTGGCGATTGCATGTATTACTAAAACGCAAGAGCGATGTACTGAGGTCTATTACTGCTAATGACATATTATTTACAATGAGCTACTTGAAATTCCTATTGAAAATTGTAATACTTGCAAAGTAGATATAAGCATTGTTAAAAATGAATTAGTCTCTTTACAATTTTTCTCGACTTACCCGTTTGAAAGAACCTTCTCTGATGAACTGGTTTGGAAAAGGAGGCCTTTGAACAACGCACGATCCTGAAAAAGATGTTAGATCAATATAGGACTATTCTTGGAATAGTTTTAGGTCACTCCGACCAAGCAGACTCAGACGTGGCTTACTTGGTGGCATGGTCGTGGTAGTAGTCGTCGGTCTGGTCCTCCTGGTGGTCGGAGGCCGCGTCGTGGTGGTGGTAGTAGTCGTGGTGGTGGTCGCGATAGTGGTGGTAGGGACAAACGCTTGTGGAGGCGGTACGAATTCGGCTATGGTGTTGACTCTCGTCTGCAGAGAAGCTTCTGTTGCCGCCATGATAGTGATGAAATGAGCGGGGGTGGGCCGGGTTCTTAACGCCGGGAGCGTCGCTCTAGTTGGAGCCCGAGTCGTCAGTTTGGCCTGTTCGGCGGCTTTTTTCATATGGAAGTTCTTCTGGGATTCCACTAAAAAAAAGTTGTAGATGGGTTGTTGATGGGCGCTAAAATTGCAGTCATTATAATATAGTATTTCTTCGGGTTGTTTAATTCGAAATCCATATTGAGTATTATTAAGAGAATTTGTTAAAGAATTAAGACATATATTAAATTGCAAAATTCAAGACAACCACTGCGGAAATCAGCTGTTTCGCTTCATCATTCGAGCACTCTGTGGCCCGCAGTCGTCGAGCAAAATTTACTGTTTCGATTTTCTGTCTTTATTAGGCCTTCCAAATACATGGTTAAAATTAATGACATTATAACTAAATCACCCTGTACAACTGCTCAGTTTTTATTTCTCCAACTATCTGTATCTATCTGTATTCGATTGAAAAGGAGTCTTTACGGACTCGAGTTTATTTCCAGATACATAAATAGAAATTCAACGGCGATAACACCTCTGTGCAAAGCCGGTACACAGGGATATATCCGACATCCCAGGTAGACCCAGCTGAAGAGGAATATGACCTTTGAGAACTCCCCGTTTTGAAATTAAATCGAAACTCCGCCCGTACGTAAAAGTTTATTTACCAACAATATTTGTACTCCGCTTGCAGCACAATTGGGCTTAACTCCCCGAGGAACTAGTACAACTTTACGGGAGTTTAATACGAGCTTACATCGAAGAGGAAACTATCGAGAAGTTTTTGGATCCTTGAGTAGTCGGACAATAGGTGCAATTAAGGTGAAACAGATGCGCTTAAGATTGCGGGGTAAGAAGTAAAAATCATCGAGAGGGCGAAATTTGATAAAAAAAAATTAAGTTACGATACAAGTGAGTACGTAACTCACCAAAATATGGACAGATAAATTGAAACAACTTTGGTAAGCTTGATAATATAGTGTGTTAGGAGTTTGACTGACGCTAAGTTCTTCAGGTTAAGTTGGATGAAGTATACAAGGTGCCTTCATCTTCAAGTAATTCGAGTGTAGCTGCATTGGATGAAAACAAACCGATTTAGATGAAGTAACCGTAGTTATCGTTTTTTAAATCTTTTTTTTTATTTCATTCTATTTTCACGATTTGCTATATAGATATTCTAACGAAATTCGACGTAGGGGAGCTTTTAGTGTAGCTGAAAATGACAATGAGCTTACTGACAGCTAAATTAAATATTTTTCACGATTTATACCAATGTACAGGGTGCCTTAAATTCTATGTCTATAGTATGGGTCTACTGTGAGGATACAAAAATTTTTAATAAAATTTGGGACAAATGGTGTTAAATGGGATGAGGTAAGTTCCATTTTCAATCGAAGGTATTTATTATCTTTGGAATTTGACAGAAACGACTAACGACGTCATCAATTATACTTTTTCCAGAAACACCCAAATTTTTTTTCTGTTAAAAAGCTCTTTTTTCTAATAAAAATTAGAGAAAATTAGAGAAATTTTTCTGTATTGCTTCAAGTTTAAAAGTTATAAGCAATATCGTCCTAACGAGTCTCAAAGAAATACCACCTAAAAATCACATTAGCGGTGCAAGGATCAACTAGTCGTTGGAAAATAATTGAATGTTTGTTGTTTAAAGTGCATAAATGTCACAAAATACTTGTCATTACTCAATACGAACGTCAAACTTATAACTTTTGTGCTTATAAAATATTTTCTCATTCAGAAAAAGTTGTTATGTTGCTAATTTGCGACGAGTCACAAAAAAATGCAAAAGAGCTGTAGAGTTATATCGCGAAAGGTATCCACAGCGCCTCATTCCTGATCATAGAATCTTTACAAGATTGGAGGCGACCTTGCGACGAAATGGAGATGCATTTTCTGTTCAGAAAAATCAAATAATTGACCGAAGGGTAAGAGACACAATGTTAATAGAGCTAGACTGTTGCAGTATTTCGGACAAAAGCCTACTAGGTGTAAGTTGGTCTAAATCCTAAAGCAAAGCAGCAACCTGTGAATGTCCCCCAAGTCCCCAACAACTATATTTGGAATGGATTGAACTCTTTCGTGTTCGCCTTAGTTTTAGGGAAAATTTTGACATTTTAGGAAGTCTGTTTATAACTCACCTACACATGGGTTAACCCATAGAAGTCTTTGCCAGCCAAGGCAGTCGTACAACTGGGTCATATCCGTGCCTTTGCAGGCACAAGTGGTCCTTAAATCAGTGCCAAGAATTCCTAATATGGCCGCTCTACATTCGGTGGGAGACCCAGCACATTTCTTGGTGACGCTGTCCACTGCACAGGACTGCTCGTAGTACTCCAGTTTTGCTCTGAAATACGTGAGAAATTTGTTGTGTAATGACAAAGTATCATTAAATATAAAAGGTGGCATAGTACCAATTAAAACGTCAATCGGGATCAATACGACTAACCCGCTATCGTAGTATATTTTATTTATAACCTCATATACAGGGTGTTGTACCAGAAATCGCCACTATCGATATCTCGGAAAGTACAGAACCGATAAGTCTGAAGATTTGATAACCTAGGAAAGGTAGTAGGGCCAACACAGCTAAAATATTTAGAACTTTATGCCACTTTCGGTTATACTTTCTTATTTTAAATGAGACACCCTATATATTATTGCATTTTAGGATTCTACGTGAAATTTGAGGGTCAATTTATTAAATATTCTCTATACCAAGGAGTTATAAAATTAATTTTTAAAGAAAAAATTTGACAGATGCAAGGGTCCGCGGGGATGCTGGTAGTTCTTTTCAGGAGCGTGATATCAAGTGGATTTTTGGTACCAGTAAAGGGCATATATATAACACTAATTTATTGTATACCAAGAAATTAAAACATTTAATACCAGGTGTTTCATTTTTGCTGTTACATTTTGATAACTTCGAACAGCTATAACTTTGTTAACTTAAATAGAATGCCCTGTATTTTGTTACTCTATCGTATGCAGATCGAAATTTCCTTTCAAGACATATAAGCATTGTTAGGGTTGNGGCACAAGTGGTCCTTAAATCAGTGCCAAGAATTCCTAATATGGCCGCTCTACATTCGGTGGGAGACCCAGCACATTTCTTGGTGACGCTGTCCACTGCACAGGACTGCTCGTAGTACTCCAGTTTTGCTCTGAAATACGTGAGAAATTTGTTGTGTAATGACAAAGTATCATTAAACATTAAAAGGTAGCCTAATACCAAGCAAAACGCCAATCGGGATCAATACGGACAACCCGCTATTGTAGTACATTTTATTTATGACCTCATATATAGGGTGTTCCACTAGGAATCGCCACTATGTCGGAAAATACTGATCCGATAAATCTGAAAATTTGACAACCTAGCAAAGGTAGTAGGGCCAACACAGCTAAAATATTTAGGTTATACTTTCTTATTTTAAATGAGACACCCTATATATTATTGCATTTTAGGATTCTACGTGAAATTTAAATTTATTAAATATTCGCTATATCTAGGAGTTATAAATTTTGAGATATTAATTTTTAAAGAAAAAAATTGACAGATGCAAGGGTCCGCGGAGATGCTAGTAACTCTTTTCAGGAGCGTGATATCAAGTGGATTTTTGGTACCGGTAAAGGGCATATATATAACACTAAATTATTGTATACCAAGAAATTAAAACATTTAATACCAGGTGTTTCATTTTTGCTGTTACATTTTGATAACTTCGAACAGCTATAACTTTGTTAACTTAAATAGAATGCCCTGTATTTTTTTACTCTGTCGTATGTAGATCGAAATTTCCTTTCAAGACATATAAGCATTGTTAGGGTTGGGGTTATTACTTTTAGAGATATTTGCAATTTGGTATTTTTTGGACAGTTTTTCTAGTATCAGACCTGTTATCAAATTGGCCATGACCAGAAATAGTCCAGTTACTCAGGGTTTTTACCTCCGAATTCTTTATAACTGAACCGATTGACGTGAAATTTTGACTGAATGTGGGGAATGCCTCAAGGAACAAAACTTATATAGTGCTTATAGTGTGCTTTAGCCCTGGGGGTGGTTCCCACCCCTTTCTGGGGGCGGAAATGTTTACGCCCAAAATAACCGACAGAGGAGTCAATTTTAAGTAACAAATGTTATATAAAGTTTTTTGGATAATCCAATACTTTCCGAGTAATTCGTCATTGAAAATGTTGATTTTTTACTGAAAATGTGCTTGTTTTCGGACAGTTTTGTGCAAATAACTCTGAAACCATTGGATTTAACGAAAAAGTTGTAATGAATAAAAAGAAAGGTAATAAAAAAACAAATCTAATGGAATTATTTCGTTTTTCTTTAATTTCAATATAAACCGAGTTATTATAAACTAAATTGGAACTAGTTAACGTTAAATAACGCCAAAACCATAAATATTAGGAAAAAACTATTTGAACCTTTTTTTAAAGTACTTTGAAAAACCTTTAAAATGAGCTGTTTTAAACGTCTTTAGAATCAAAATTAACGGAAATATGATCGAAATAACATGATAGTCTCATTTTTTTTAATGAAAAAATTAATAAGCAAATCAGTGACTGGCGACAGAATTAAAATTAAATTCAATCCATTTACAGATTTCTTCATTTATGTTCTAAGAATATGCTCTGGGTCTTTAGCTCACTTACAAAGCATGATTTCGAAAAAAATTAATTTTTGAAAATGTTAATTTTAAAAAATTAAAGGGTGCACGAAAAAAATACAATAGTAAAAAAATGTAGCTTTATTTTTGCTGAAGATTTTGCTTTTTTTTATTCCTTTAATTTATTGGAACCAACAAAAATGTGTAGTTTGCCTGCTCCGGAGGAATTGCTGAAAATGATTTTTTGCAATTGCAAAAAAAGATTGCGGAGCAAATTGTGGCTGCCGGAAGCTCGGTTTATTTTGTAATTCGACATGTGGAACATGCTCCGGCGACAACTGCTTAAATTCTCTTCCAATCATCGAAGAGGACGAGCATGATTGAAGGGATAGCAGTAACGACGAATAATCATTTACATATAATTATAATGTTTTTTTTGTATTTATTATTATTAAAAAGGAAAATAAAAATTTATAAAATAATCTTAAATGTAAGGGATAATTTTTAAGTGTTGAAAAGTTGCAATCAATTCAAAATTATTTTATAAGAAGGGAATAAATGTTTATTTAATACGAATGCACATTTAAAAAGTTTCTACTCTTTCAATAATATTTTTTCATTTTATTTTCGAAAGAAGGGGTATTTTCAAGGCTTGAAAAGTTGCAATCGATAAAAAAATATTTTATTCAAGAAATCAATTTTAATTTGATAAAAATGCATGTTTAAAACGTTTCAAGTTGAAAAAAAAAAAATTATATTATTTTCATCCAAAGCTGTGGTTTTTAAAGGTTTTTCTGGGTTGAAAATTTGGGATACATTAAGTATCATGTTATATAGCCCATGAAATTACTCATACTGCATAAATAAAAAAGATTCGATTTCCAATAAGGGGTGGTTTTCACCCCTTAAGAACAAAAAGCACACCTAGCGCATATATAAGTTTTGAAGTGGGGGTAAGACGAACCTAATTCTAAATTTTGAGAAAAATCGATGCAGTCATAAAAAAAATCGGAGGAATTACTATAGTTTCAGCTACAGTAACTGGTCTAAAACACTCAACACTACTTTTGTGCTCTACAATTTATGATGGAATATTTTTGTTCGTAGGATGAACGGTTGAGTGAGTTAGTTAAATTGAAAAAAGTCCAAAAATGTCGTTGTTTTCGTGGTGCCACTAGGAAAAATGGAACAAACTTCAAATCCCTTCATTTGGATGTAAAACAAAGTGATTAAAACGATTTCCACGTTTCCAGGAATAATTTCCTGGCAAAATCCTATTTTTACTGGCCTAATATGAAGTACGACTTATGTTTTTTTCTTTATTTGCAATTTCTTATCGAATTGTTTTCCAGAGTGTGGAAAAATTTTCTCTTCAGAAAACTACTGCACCTTTGTTTTTTTGTTAAAAAAATATTGACGAACCTTCCTCACTGCTCTCTCTTGTTTCTAGATCTCTTTTCTTGAAGTTTAACGCAAATACATTTAAATTTAAGTCTTTTCAAAATAATCAACAGGTAACTTAACCAATATTTTTTTCTTTCATCCCTGTTAAAATAAAAACTCCAGTCATATAGTTTTTTTTATTATCAGGGCCTTAATTTGTTCCGGTATTATTTTACGCTAAAAATACAAGAAGATTTAACTTGTCATCGAAACAAACAACGGTCGTCATAACTGTACAAAAATGCACTTTTTTATATCTCCGTATTGTCTCAGTCCTGTCCGTTCCAATTATGTAAAACAGCAGAAACGTTTTTTGGCGGAAATCGCGATCGGCGTCGACACGTTTTCCATTTAGCCCGCCTTTCCTGCCGCCCTTCCGTTGTCCTGCCGGGTGGGGACGTATTGCATTTTTTATGTTATTTGAAGCGGCGCAGTAGTCTAAGAATATAAAAAATGTTTTTAATATATTACGTGCTGTGTCCCTGGCACTCTCCCTCCGGTGACTCCTGTTTATAGAACAGGCGAAATTCATAAAAAATACTTCTCGAATCTGGCGTCAACAAGGCGAAACGGCAGATAAATCAACTGGGATCTTTTTTGGCGCGAGATTTCGTCTTTGACAAGTTACCAGATGTAGGTTTAACTGTTCGGTTATCGGAGTCAAATTTACGGTATTTGTAGGAATTTCACACATCCCACATATCGGCTTCGGTGTGGGAGAGTTTTATATAACCGTTCAAAAAATTATTATTTTATAACAATCTAGGAATATACCGAGTGTTCTATAACTCTACCGATACAGCGTAGGCACGTGTAGAGGATCTTAAGATATGTCGATTTGTTATGTTATTTTTTTCCTGAGATGTTGAAGATATATTGGCCACTGAAAATGAGTGTTAAATTTTGAAAAACAAATATTTCAGCTAGCTTTAACATAGAGCAAAACCAAATTTGGTACATGATTTGCGTTTATTGTTATCTTTAATTGGTAAAAATATGAATTTGTTGGAAGGGCCGGACTAGGGTAGGGCGCCCTTAAAATTATATAGATTTTTTTTATCAGTGTGCCAATTATTAAATAGTTTTACCGGAGTTACAGGAAATTTAATTTTAAACATTTTCTTTCTCTTACAAATTTTTCGATAAAATAATGGATTTTGAGAAAATTTAGATTTTGTGAAACACCGTCATTACTAATCGAATAGGACAAAAAGTAAAGTATGCAGTTTTACGACTAGTAGGCTATGATTTCATGTGTCGTTTTGACACATATGTCTTTCGAACGACC